CCCTCCGACCCCCGCAACTGGCAGCCAGCCCTCCCACCACTCAGTGTGGTGAGTGTTTTGTTTGTTCATTATTTGCTATTAAACTGCAGTATAAATAATGTAAACCCATTCATGACTGCATATTGGAATGGTTATTCGGACAGGTATTGGACGGTGACATGTGTTTACTCTTGAACACAGCAAAGAATCAAACATTTCTGCTACTGCTAATAATAACAATAGTAATAATAATAATAATAATAATAATAATAATAATAAATACGATATAATTGAAGAAGGAAGTTGTACAAAAATACGAGGGAGTGGTTGACACATCGTCAGTGTGGCTTTGTTTATGCTGGAGTGAACATTAGTCTCCCTGCTCTAATAAACATTTCACAATAATTCATTGTGTTTGGTACTTGTAGATTGAGTGCGACTGGAGTGGTAGAGGCAGTGGTTGAGGCAGCTGTTGAGGCAGCGATTGTGGCAGTGGGTGAGGCAGCGATTGAGGCAGTGGGTGAGGCAGCTGTTGAGGCAGTGGGTGAGGCAGCTGTTGAGGCAGCGATTGTGGCAGTGGGTGAGGCAGCTGTTGAGGCAGTGATTGTGGCAGTGGGTAAGGCAGCGATTGAGGCAGTGGGTGAGGCAGCTGTTGAGGCAGCGATTGTGGCAGTGGGTGAGGCAGCGATTGAGGCAGTGGGTGAGGCAGCTGTTGAGGCAGCGATTGAGGCAGTGGGTGAGGCAGCTGTTGAGGCAGCTGTTGAGGCAGCTGTTGAGGCAGCTGTTGAGGCAGCGATTGAGGCAGTGGGTAAGGCAGCGATTGAGGCAGTGGGTGAGGCAGCTGTTGAGGCAGCGATTGTGGCAGTGGGTGAGGCAGTGGGTGAGGCAGCTGTTGAGGCAGCGATTGAAGCAGTGGGTGAGGCAGCTGTTGAGGCAGTGGGTAAGGCAGCGATTGAGGCAGTGGGTGAGGCAGCTGTTGAGGCAGCGATTGTGGCAGTGGGTGAGGCAGCGATTGAGGCAGTGGGTGAGGCAGCTGTTGAGGCAGCAGTTGAGGCAGTGGGTGAGGCAGCTGTTGAGGCAGCTGTTGAGGCAGTGCATGAGGCAGCGATTGAGGCAGCGATTGAGGCAGCGATTGAGGCAGCGATTGAGGCAGCGATTGAGGCAGCAATTGAGGCAGCTGTTGAGGCAGCTGTTGAGGCAGCTGTTGAGGCAGCTGTTGAGGCAGCTGTTGAGGCAGCTGTTGAGGCAGCTGTTGAGGCAGCTGTTGAGGCAGCTGTTGAGGCAGCTGTTGAGGCAGCTGTTGAGGCAGCTGTTGAGGCAGCGATTGAGGCAGCGATTGAGGCAGCGATTGAGGCAGCGATTGAGGCAGCGATTGAGGCAGCGATTAAGGCAGCGATTGAGGCAGCTGTTGAGGCAGCGATTGAGGCAGTGGTCACTGAGGCAGCTGTTGAGGCAGCGATTGAGGCAGTGGTCACTGAGGCAGCTGTTGAGGCAGCGATTGAGGCAGTGGTCACTGAGGCAGCTGTTGAGGCAGCGATTGAGGCAGTGGTCACTGAGGCAGCTGTTGAGGAAGCGATTGAGGCAGCTGTTGAGGCAGCTATTGAGGCAACTGTTGAAGCAGCGACTGAGGCAGTGGGTGAGGAAGAGATTGAGGCAGTGGTATTTAATAACATACATGTTATTAATAATAATAATACATGTTATTAATATGTACTATTATTATTTATAACATATATGTTATTAAATACCACTGCCTCAACCACTGAATTATTGTGAAATGTTTGGAAGAGCAGGGAGACTAATGTTCACTCCAGCATAAACAAAGCCACATTGACGATGTGTCAACCACTCCCTCGTATTTTTGTACAATTTCCTTCTTCAATTATATCATATTATTATTATATTATTATTATTATTATTATTATTACTATTGTTATTATTAGCAGTAGCAGAAATGTTTGATTCTTTGCTGTGTTCAAGACTAAACACATGATGTCACCGTCCAATACCTGTCCGAATAGCCATTCCAATATGCAGTCATGAATGGGTTTACATTATTTATACTGTAGTTTAATAGCAAATAATGAACAAACAAAACATTCACCCCACTGAGTGGTGGGAGGGCTGGCTGCCAGTTGCGGGGGTCGGAGGGAGGGTAGTAGGGACTCGCAGTGGTTGGGGAAGTGGTGGAGGCATTGGTGGAGTCTGTGGTATTTAATAACATACATGTTATTAAAGCATAACATGTATATATTTAGTACAATTACGATTGTTCATGGTTCAACAAGTTAAGGAAGCAGTATTGTATTATATTTCCCTACAATATATTGGGGCACCAAACATTCACGGTTTTTCAACATTCGCGAGGCTCTTGATCCCCTAACCCTCGCGAATGATGAGGGAGACCTGTACACACCCCTCTGGGTTTTCTTTTATTTTCTTACTAGTTCTTGTTTATTTCCTGTTATCTCCATGGGGAAGTGGAACAGAATTCTTCCTCCGTAAGCCATGCGTGTTGTAAGAGGCGACTAAAATGCTGGGAGCAAGGGGCTAGTAACCCCCTTCTGTATAACTAAATTGAAAAAGAGAAACTTTTGTTTTTCTTTTTGGGCCATCCTGCCTCTGTGGGATACGGCTGGTTTGGGGTGTGTGTGTGTGTGTGTGTGTGTGTGTGTGTGTGTGTGTGTGTGTGGTGTACTCACCTATTTGTGGTTGCAGGGGTCGAGTCTTAGCTCCTGGCCCCGCCTCTTCACTGGTTGCTACTGGGCCCTCTCTCTCCCCGCTCCATGAGCTTTATCAAACCTCGTCTTAAAACTGTGTATGGTTCCTGCCTCCACTACGTCATTTTCTAGGCTATTCCACTGCCTTACAACTCTATGACTGAAGAAATACTTCCTACTATCTCTCTGACTCATTTGTGTCTTCAACTTCCAATTGTGGCCTCTTGTTTCTGTGTCCCCTCCCTGGAACATCCTGTCTTTGTCCACCTTGTCTATTCCATGCAGTGTACTCACCTATTTGTGGTTGTAGGGGTCGAGTCTTACCTCCTGTGTGTGTGTGTGTGTGTGTGTGTGTGTGTGACAGACAGAGACAGAAAAAAAAACTACTCTATAAACATATAAAAATATACTAAAAATGTTATAAATGGTGCAAAGGTGACATTAAAACAATATCAAAGATGACTGACACAAACTCACTACCATTATAGTATGCTCCTTGCTTAGCGACAAATTTGTTTACCAACGTGGTCTTAGGAACAGAACTTAGTCGTTGAGTGAGGAGAGGTACATGTACTGGTAGAAATTAATTATTATTATGTCCTGTTATTTTTTTCATAATTATGTACAGTGATATGCCCTTGCCCAAAATGCTCTGCATAACAATGGGCTTTCAACATGCACTTAACTGTAACCCATATCTGTATGAACAACGTATCATGCTGAAATAAACTTATTTGAATTTTGATATTAAGGGCAGCGATGGTCCAAGGCACATCTGTGTCAACTATTAGGATGCTCTTATAAACTAATTCGTGCTAATAATTCTATTTAAACAAAAGATTTAAGGCATGGTTTCATTATCCTCACAATCAGTGATAGGAAAACAAAATGATATTGAGGGAGAATTCCTATCAATTTTTATATAAACATTATCTCTGGTATTCTCACACTGATAATGCAAAGGATATGAAAATGCTGAAAGGATTCACTGCCATGTAGAACGCAGCTAATTTAGTCATCTGTTAATCATACTTATGACTCCCATGGTGATAAACAATTTATATACGAATGGCATACAAGGTGGTAGCCATACAAACTCTAATTATAATTTTTATTATTATTATAATAATAATCAAAACTATGTGCTAAACCCATCAGTCATACAGTGCTGCAGGGGAGAGAGTTTGAACTGTGAAATATGTATGATCTGAAAGGGTGAAGAGTATAATGGAGAAAAAGAGTTTGTAAGGCAGTATAATCAAAGGTTGGGTAATAAATTTGTTATCACAAACTCAAAGAAACGGCGTCAAAGGTGGGGCAGTCAGCAAGGAAGGAAGATAAAGTAAGGTGTTACAGCAGTGACAAAGTCAGAGGTAAATTATGCGTGCTCGCTGATGTACAGGACAGTCCAACAGAATATGGCAAACTAATATATAAACTCCAAACATTTATCATGGTGGTGGTGCTGAAAGATCACCCCATGAATTTATCATTTAATTAATTCTCACAGTATTATTACCTAATTTTCCCCAAATTTATGGCCTAACTAAAAATTTGGCATACTTAAAGTCCCAAAATTTTAATAGCATTCTATAATACCCAAAAACCAACTATTAGCAATATTCAAGAGTGAAATAATTATCAATTGTATTATAAAAAAAACCTAAAAGTTAACATGACAAATAACCTACGGAAAAAATACAAATTTTACTTAGAAAAGACTTCTTAATACTACAGCAATCACTGCATGTTGAAATCACACTACAGACAGTATATTTTAATGTGTGGAAATTAGGAGGGGGTGTGGAGATATTGAAAGTATTATTTAGAGGGCTGAAGAGGGATTATTGAGGTGGTTTGGGCATTTAGAAAGGATGGAGCAAAAGAGGTTGACTTAGAGGGTGTATACATCTGTAGTGGAGGGGAGGAGGGATAGGGGTCATCCTAGGAAAGGATGGAGAGAGGGAGTATAAGAGGTTTTGTGTGCAAGGGGCCTGGACATGCAGCAGGCTTGTGCGAGTGTGCTAGACAGGAGTGAATGGAGACTAATGGTTTTCGGGACCTGACGAGCTGGTTAGCCAGACTCGAGTCCCAGAGATGGGAAGTACAATGCCTACACTTTAAAGGAGGGGTTTAGGATATTGGCTGTTTGGAGTGACATCTAAACTGTCATATTTGGGCACCTCTGCAAAGACGAGTGATATTGTGTGAATGATAGTGAAGAGGTTTCTTTCTTTTTTGGGTCACCCCTGCCTTGGGGTTGAGAAAAAAATGAAAATACTTTTAACTGGTAATCCTCACATTTTGATGAGTGTCTTGGATAAAGAGCATGATGGGGGAATCGACATCACTCATCTTGCGGTAGAGGGAGTTGAGGCTGAAACCATTCTCTGCTGTGCTAAACACCAGTTTCCACGAGTAACCCTGGGCACGGGCTGGCAACTTCCTGTACAGACTCTGTGTACAAACACATGATGTTATATGCATCAACAAGTCAAAAAAAAAAAAAAAAAAAAGCTCTAATAATCAACACAATGAGCTGAAAAATGAAGTACAGTAATTAGTTAATTAGTTGAGATGCAAGAACAAGTGACTTCATGGCAATGGTAAGATAAGATAAGATAAGATTTCGTTCGGATTTTTAATCCCCGGAGGGTTAGCCACCCAGGATAACCCAAGAAAGTCAGTGCGTCATCGAGGACTGTCTAACTTATTTCCATTGGGGTCCTTAATCTTGTCCCCCAGGATGCGACCCACACCAGTCGACTAACACCCAGGTACCTATTTGCTGCTAGGTGAACAGGACAACAGGTGTAAGGAAATAGTATATAATAGCATCATGTATCCATTGGCCTTGAAAATGGCCAAAGAAATAACAGTACCCTTGCCTTCAGCTACTTCTTACGGCTGACTTACATGTGGCTGTCCCCGAGTACATGTATGTGCATGTGTGGTGTACAACCGATTGCTTTCATGACTACTTCAACAAAATCTCTACACCTGACTGACCAAGTCATATGCATACACGAGATTTAAACCTGTACACTAGCCACACTCATTAATCTGTCTTCTTTTAAAAGGCGATGGAAAACTATGTGGTTAGAATTTATTTTACTTGTATGGAGGTCAAAATTCATAAAGTATAATGTTTGTTGTGGCTTTGTAGCATCAATGAATATCATGCAGCTCTTTAGAATGTTTTTTATGAATTATCATAGTTTGGTTCTTTATATTTCTCTGTTCATGTTTGTACTGCTCAAATTACAAAACAAAATTTTTATCAATTTATTAATACAACACCAGATGGCAAGTTGTTTGGTACAGCATATGCTATACTGTACAGTACTGCAAAAATTATTCTATATTGTCACAATATGCTGTATACTGATTACAAACTGTACAAAATCTGCCACATACCTTTCGAACAACATCTGTGATGATTTCTGATGCACCATTGATGTCAGGCAGGAAGGCTTCAAGATCTAGGCTGGTGAGGGAACCCGAGGAGTATAGCGCTCTTCGTAACTCTTCACTCATGGACACCACCTGCCATTACAGCGCAAAGTAATAATTAAATGTATTTTCAGGATTATTATACTAATAACCTCTTAAACAGATAGTACTCTCTCACGACATAGGCCCAAATAATGGCAACATTAACAGCAATTTTAATCAAATTTTATATTAAAACTTAGCTTTATTTAAAAAAAAAATTGTTTTTAGAAAATTGTACAGAAATTTAATACAGTACTTTCCACCTGAGACACTTATTTTTGTGTTTAGGAACTTATTACTACACACATAATAATGAGATTATATTGCTCAATATAACTTTTGTTCTTCACATGAAAATGTTATTTGAGAAAGACAACAGGTGCCACCATGCCCAGTTCACAACTGGAGGATATAATGTGAAGAATTACCTTTTTAATTCTTTTATAAATGTTACTTTTATACAGTAGTAGGTAGATACGTATATTAATTTGGAGTATTGTACACATTTCAAGAAAAAGGCACACCTTGCTCTAAAGCTCAAGATAATTAGAAAATTAAAGTTGAAACTATTAACTAGAGCACAAAGAGCAGTGACAGCCTCCCTACTGGAAGAGGACTTTCTCTGGATTATTAATCCCAAAGGGTAGGGTTAATAACCCAAGAAAGCTAAGCTGTGTAGCTCAATTCCATTTAGGTCGTTCAGTCCTTCCACAGGATACGACCCCACAAAAAGTAACTGCTAGGGATCAGTTTACTGCTTGGTGAACAGGAAAAGCAGGTGTAAAGAAACCTGCTTATATGGTTCACCTTGCCCAGGAATCTAATCCATGTCCTTTGATTATGACCTAAACTACCACTGAGCTATAACACACCCATGATATATGGAGGTGCCACCAATATATTTGGCTGTGGAAATACCAGGACTGGATTACCACCTACATCCCAGTTATCTATATAAGAACATTAACAAGAGAGTAACAGTATTAAATGACATTTAACGAACAGGTTTGAGAATTTCTCAATATTAACGTTTACAATCATACATATTTACTCACACACTATTATTATTATTATAATTACTATACAGTGGAACCTTGGTACTCGAACAGCTCCATACTTGAACAATTCGTTATTCGAATGCTTTGTTCAGTAAACAAATCGCTTAGTAGTCGAGCATTTGCTTGGCACTCAACCAAACAAACACGACCTGCCAGAACTTCGCTGTAAACTAATTCGCGTTTCTTCGCATTTTTTGGTGTTTTTTTATATTTGTATAAATAAAATCACCATGGGGCCTAAGAGGGTTAGTGATAACAGCCAACCAAAAAGAAAATCAGTTGGAAAAATTCATTCTGTACCTGAACAGATTAGAACTTGGACTGCCTTCTGGAACCAATTAAGTTTAAGTGCCAAGGTTCCACTGTAACTGCCTCCCAGCATACATAAGGGGAATTTCCAACAGACCCCTGGCTGTCTTCAAGGAGGAGCTTGACAAAGCTCTTGGAGAGCGAAATGTTACCACAATAAAATGTCACATTAGATGCACTTGTGTCCTTTTACCTAACATGGTTTATCATCACTGGGGTCATGTTCTTTATCCCTACGATACAACTCTTAACTGTCAATTTAGGGGGTTGTGCAACAGGGACATTTATACTTCTGGGATATGGAGAAAGCTTTTTGGTATACAACTTAACCCAACCTAGCAAAGGAGTAATTTTGGATTAGTTAATATTATGGTACATTATGTTTTATTACCTAAAAGTAGCTGTAATCCTATTTACCCAAATATAACTGTCCACTGCACAACCCATTTAATATTAAAAAAATCAAGCAATAAAACATCAAAGCAACTATGACCCCAATGGAAACGTCGTGACTTTTTTTTTGAGTTATCCTAGATAATGTACATGTTACTAGGTATGATAACTAAACTTATGTGCACCTGCACCTAAATAAACTTACTTACCCTCAATAAATTTTAAATTCTTCAGGGGGATAATTGTGAAAGTGTATTCAATAATATTAATGAATTTTCATGGAGAAGTGCTAAACTCATAAGGCTCCCATATTATTATTATAATCATGTGGGAGCGCTAAACCCTTAGGATTATAAAACGCATGTGGGGGGGGGGGAGGGATGGAAGGTATTCAGGCTCAATTCAGGGAACTGGAGCACAGATCCAATTCCCTAGATAAAGAGCCCCTCACCAGCGTCAAGGAACCTCCCTTGAGGGGAAGGCTCCCATAGTACCTGGGGAATGGGAGGTAATCAAGCCTGATCCAAGAAAGGATGAACTTCAGTTCCTTGGATCAAAAGTCCTCCTACATCTATGCACCTCCCTTCACTGAATTCTGCTCAACGGAAATTTTTTAAAATGTGCTAACCATGCACATTAATTTTACTATGAAAATACATTATGGATGAGGTACGTAAATTGCATTTTACAAGACTATATGAAGCACTATAACTTGTGTATGATTATCTATGATTGATGCTTAAATAAAAAAAAACTTAGAACAACGGTTACGAAAAACATATGGCTAATATAGAGATCAAGTCCTTGTGAGAAATCAGTCATTATTTTCTATTTTAAAATAAAAGTATGCTGTCTGTTGCTGAGCACAAATTGAGATTTCTTGTGGAAACTGTTATTTTGTGAGATATCAGCAAAAATGATACATTTACACTTTGTGAGACAAGCAGCACATAGGGCTAATCACAGTGAATATAAACAAAGACGAGCCAATCCCACATCGTCTGCTGGTGGAGTAAGGTTTAGTTACTTTATGTTATTTAAGGTCAAGTTAGATTATATTAGGTTATTTAAGGTTGACCTATATTAGGTTATTTAAGGTTGATTTATAGTAGGTTATTTAAGGTTGATTTATAGTAGGTTATTTAAGGTTGATTTATAGTAGGTTATTTAAGGTTGATTTATAGTAGGTTATTTAAGGTTGATTTATAGTAGGTTATTTAAGGTTGATTTATAGTAGGTTATTTAAGGTTGATTTATAGTAGGTTATTTAAGGTTGATTTATATTTGGTTACATTAGGTTATTTTAGGTTGAGTTATATTAGGTTACATTAGGTTATTTTATATTAGATTAAGGTTATTTAAAGTTGAGTTACATTAGGTTACATTTCTTACATCTAATCATCAAAAAATATCCATAACAAAACCAACCTAATACTGGACATCTATAGACTGAAAAGGACACGTGAGCAAACACTATGTTATATATTTAAAAATATATCACCTGGGTCCTTGATTACTTAAAGAATAAATTACAGCGAAATTCACATAAGGAGCAAAACTTGATTATTACGAATTCATTATTAGTCGTATACGATGCAGCGTAAAAACTAGCTGTATCAGGAATTATTTTTAGAAACAGGATATTGCACAGAAAAAAAAAAAACTAGTAGGATCAAGAAATGAAACTGATATATCACCATCATGGTGAAATATATCACCATCATGGTGACATGTATCACCATCATGGTGAAATATATCAAGGTGAAATATATCACCATCGTGGTGAAATATATCAAGGTGAAATATATCACCATCGTGGTGAAATATATCACCATCATGGTGAAATATATCACCATCATGGTGAAATATATCAAGGTGAAATATATCACCATCATGGGAATTCATGAAATATATCAATCAGGTGAAAATATATCACCATCGTGGTGAAATATATCACCATCATGGTGAAATATATCACCATCATGGTGAAATATATCACCCTCACTACCATTACGCTGGTGTGTTTAACAATCACAATTTTAACAAACCACATCAGTGAGTCCATCACATCACCTCAAAGCAACAATTATTCACTATTATCCCCCCCCCCCACACAGTACAGTAAATCACCCAGACTAGGCAAGTCACACTCACCCTGGTATTCATGCTGGCTGATGAGTGATAGAGAGAGAGACACACCCACACGGGCTACAAACTTCTTTCTACTGACTTGAAACACAACCACATAGAAATAGTTGGCAAAAAAAAGGCTTTCAGTAGCGAGGATATTTACCTTCTGACAGCCTCTACTTGCGCGCCACCTGTTACTGACAGCTAAACCTGTGGGAGTGTGCGCCCTGGGCCCTCAGGGTCCCATGCCCACTCTCATGGTAGTTATGGTTTTGACACCAGAGTGGTTTTTGGGTGATTTAATGGGGCCACGCTCACTGCAGGGCCCACCACACGTCCACCCACACTCGTTTTCCGTCATTCTTAACCACTTAAATAAACCACCACCTTGTACGTGGGAGGTGGAGAAACGTGGGGGTGGTACAGGGGACCTGGAGAAACGTGGAAGTGGGTGGAATAACCACTACCTTATACAAGGGAGTTACATAAACGTGGGAGTGATAAACGAGAGGTAGGGAACGTGGGAGTGATAAACGAGAGGTAGGGAAACGTGGGAGTGATAAACGAGAGGTAGGGAAACGTGGGAGTGGTAAACGAGAGGTAGGGAAACGTGGGAGTGGTAAACGAGAGGTAGGGAAACGTGGGAGTGATAAACGGGGGTAGGGAAACGTGGGAGTGGATAAACGAGAGGTAGGGAAACGTGGGAGTGATAAACGAGAGGTAGGGAAACGTGGGAGTGATAAACGAGAGGTAGGGAAACGGGGAGTGGTAAACGAGAGGTAGGGAACGTGGGAGTGATAAACGAGAGGTAGGGAAACGTGGGAGTGGTAAACGAGAGGTAGGGAACGTGGGAGTGATAAATGGGAGGTAGGGAAACGTGGGAGTGATAAACGGGAATGGGAAACGTGGGAGTGATAAATGGGAGGTAGGGAAACGTGGGAGTGATAAACGGGAAATGGGGAAACGTGGGAGTGATAAATGGGAGGTAGGGAAACGTGGGAGTGATAAACGGGAAATGGGGAAACGTGGGAGTGATAAATGGGAGGTAGGGAAACGTGGGAGTGATAAACGGGAAATGGGGAAACGTGGGAGTGATAAATGGGAGGTAGGGAAACGTGGGAGTGATAAACTGGGAAAGTGGGGAAACGTGGGAGTGATAAA